TATTTGGGGCGACCCCGGCGTAGTGGTTAGCATCCATACCTCTCACGCCAAAGTCACGAGTTCTAATCTCACCCCCGGACAAGTCACGAATGACCCAAGAGCGTTAAAGTGACCATAATTAAAAAAAAAAAAAAAAATATATATTTATTATTTTCCTCTGACTAACCTTTAAAATGTATGGAATCAGATCTGTCAAAATGAGCTTGACAGCGATTTGTTATGTATTTTCACTAACACACTCTCACATATCGCACCAATATAACCGGACGTGAATTTCACTGTTACTGTAACCATGATATTTACTGTCAAAAAGTTGGACATTTTTGTCCATTACAATAAAATCACCCCAGTACAGAGATTTTCACGATATATGAGAGCATGCTAGTGAAATTCCGAGAAAAATACATAACAAATCGCTGTCAAACTAGTTTTGACAGATATAATTTCATACATTTTTTAGGTTAGCCAGAGGAAAATAATAAACAACTTTACACGGCGATGCACCCGCTAGTGTGCGTGCGTTAAACGTCACTAATCTCTATAATCTACAAAGACACCATGCATGTTGTGGGATAAAACAATTGCCAAAACAGTAATGAATTTGAATCATGCTTGCACCTATTATATAAAGTACCACTTTTATGCTTAAGAGCCCGCAGGGCCCAGTGTCATACACCAAACAACAGCCGCTTAATGAAAGGTATCATGGTCACATAGAGTATATATTTTTTGAAATCGGTCACCCGGTTCCAGAAATATGACCGGAACATGCTGCGGTTTATATGGGACATGAGGCTAATTGGGACCTTAATTGAATAAAACTACTCATGTGACACCTCAAATCATATTAGAATTGAAAAACTAGTTCAAATGTAGTCTTTTGGGGGGAGGTGGCAGTGCCACATTGGCCACACCTGGCAGGAAACAACTAGGTCCAACCATGACACAAATATAAATTTGGAATACTTGAGTATTCAAACGTTTGAATAAAATTAATGCTAGCATGAAGTTTACATCTTTTAGTAGTATTATACTGCACAAAAACTTTGAAAATGCAAGTAAACATTCTTCTTGTGGACGTTCTAAAGTGAGCCATGAGAAAATTAGTTAAAAGTGAAATATTTTTGAAAACATAATAAAACCGAAAATATTTTAGCCATTAAAACACATATTTTTCTTTATAGTTATAAGCTTTTAGAAAAAGTTTCTTAGACTTTCTTGGACTAACGGCAACCAATTTTTTTTTGCGTTAGCATCGGATGACTTTCATTCAGAAGTGAAAAATTTCATGTCGATACTGGAGCTCCTGGGAGACAAAATCAATTATAGAACCTGAAAAATTTTCAAACAAATTACACATCCGCGAACAGGAAAAACAAGCAACCGTCTCCGAGGGGAGGAATGTCGGAAGTGTAGATGCTGTAAAGCAAAGGGCCCTACAAACTTCCTTGCGGAATACCTGCTGGGATGGAAAACGTGTTCGAAAGACAACCATTCAACAATACCTTGAACGACCTTTACTGGAGGTAGTGATTTTAACGAGATGTAATGGGAAGTTGAAGTTACAAAGCTTGTACACAAGTCCGTCATGCCAAACATTGTCAAGCGCCTTTTCAACGTCTACCAATGCCATGGCTGTGGACTTGGATACAGCTTTGTTACTTCGGATGTTATTCATCACCCGTACTAGCTGGTAATTGGTGGAGTGCCCCTTCCTGAATCCGAACTGTTCCGGAAGGAGAATGTTGTTTTCCTCGACAAACTTGATTGAGCAAACGATTGAGAATGAATTTCTCGAACAATTTGCTCAGCGCTGTAAGGAGGCTGATTGGTCTGTAGCTTGAAGGCAATGTTGGATCCTTACCGGGTTTTGCCGATTGGTATGATTTTTGATACCTTCCAGACGCTTGGAGCACTTTCATGCTGAGTCTTTTCAAGATCAAGTTGAATATACCATCAAACCCGGGAGCCTTCATATTCTTGGTACATTTCAGCGCTGGGCAAATCTGTTGTACTGTAATCTTATCCGCCGGAGGCATGAAACAAGGGGAGGCATCTAGGTGTTGAACGCTTTGCGCAACCTGATCTTCGAGCGGTATTTGGATAGTCGAGCCAAGCAAATGCGATGAAGCGACATACTCTCCGATCGCACTTGCTTTCTCCTGTGGGGTGATTAAAACCGGTTTGTCATCATTTTCGACTCTGAGAGGTGGAACGGGATTGGGATGAGTTTTCAGGACCTTGGCTACCTTCCAGAATGGTCTGGAGCGGTCGTCCAGATTCTGGACAACATGCCCGAAACTATCATTTCGGTGTGAAAGCAATCAAATCGATGTTCAGATCGGCCATTTCACGTTTTTTTGTCCAGATCTCCAGTCCTCTGAAACTGGCGTCTACGCACATTTCTTAAGCGAATCAGTAATCGTGTGGGAATCAATAGCAACAAACTTACCCCTCACAGGAAGTTATCGAAAGCATGCCTCATCAGCCACGGATATGGCCTATTGGAGTCCTTCCAACGCCCGGTTGATGTCATCTACGGTGTCAAGCGGCGGATCTTCGTCGATGTCTCTGTCAACCACACGTCCAAACTGCACCCAGATGAAGTGGTGGTAGCATAGAGGTAACTCTAAGAACAAAAGGTCCCGAAGAAACATGCTCATCTTTTTGGCTCAGCTCTGGTACTCTCTTCGGTCCCAAGCTAATCGATGCACCCCTCGAAACATAGCAAAATCCACGAATCCCTTATTTTATCTGTCAAACTTTCATAGCGAATCAAAACAAACATAGTGTAGTACTAGATTTTTTTTTTTTATTATAGTCACTTTAACACTCTTGGGTCATTCGTGACTTGTCCGGGGGTGAGATTTGAACTCGTGACTTTGACGTGAGAGGTATGGATGTTAACCACTACGCCGGGGTCGCCCCGGTGTAGTACTAGAATTTTGGCTAGAATGGGGTACGTTAATTGATTTGCTTGGGACCAATAGGCTAGTCAAGTAATGAGCCAATTTAAAATCGTTAGTTTCGTGTTAGTCTTTGCGCTGGCTTGCACGTTGATGTTAGCTTCAGCTACCACCGGTTGAACCGATGGAAATTAATGATTTTAAATTGGCTCACTACTTGACTAGCCTATTGGTCCAAGCAAATCGATTAACGTACCCCATTCTAGTCAAAATTCTAGTACTACATTATGTTTGTTTTGATTCGCTATGAAAGTTTGACAGATAAAATGAGGGGTTCGTTGATTTTCCTCTGTTTCGAGGGGTGAACCGATTAGCTTGGGACCGAAGAGAGTACCAGAGCTGAGCCAAAAAGTTGACCATGTTTATTCGGGACCTTCTGGTCTTAGAGTTACCTCTACGCCACTACCATAGAGGTAACTCTAAGACTAGAAGGTACCGAAGAAACGTGCTTAACTCAACAAATACTCTCTTATGCCACACCATATCTCATTAGCTCCCACAGCTGTAATGCTGTGCACTGTAAGCAAAATTTAATTTTGTAAGTTTTGCGCAAACGCTTATTAAACTACGGTTTTACGTTAAATCTTTTTGGTGTCATCGGAGCATTTATTTTTTGGCTCATAAGGAAAAAGTGCGTCGAAGACACTAAACCGTAGATTTATATGCGTTTGGGCACAGCTTATGAATAAAAAAATGGCTTGCAATGCGCAATAACCAGCCATCGCGCACCTCCATTGGCTGGTTAGTAAACATTAGAAGTATGTACATACATGCATGCAATCTAATACAATGGATGACGGGTATACGAAAATTTTCATCCAACGCTATTCAAGCTGGTAGCCAAACATCATGTGGTGCGTATATAAACATGAAGTAACGTCTAAATTTGTTTGATTTATTTTGAACTTCAGAATGCTCATTAAATTTAAAAGATGACGATATACTGTATGACCGAAAACATACACAGCTAAATCCTAAGCATCTAGCGAAAGTGAATGAGCGGCAATGGTTTACGGTATTTTAAGTTGATCGTTTTGTTCTCTTTTGGTAACCAAGCGACTTTTAGTATCCACCAATCGTGTTAGGCACTAATTGACACAAGATGTGTTATCTCACTCACCTGCACTAAGAAGGATCCTTAGAGGACATATGAGTGTGTTATCTCATAAATTAGCAAAGTGAATGCACAGAGTGTCAATAAACCAACAAGCAATAAACCAACAAGCATGCCGTCACCGTCATCGATATCTGATGCACTGGAGGTATACCTAGCTGTGTATATAATAGATTGATTTAAAACTTCAAACTTAACGGCAAAGCTAAACTGAACATGCATTAGGTATGGGGATCTGCTTCTTAGATCCTTTGTATATGTTGCTTACAAAAAATGTCTTCAGACTGTAACAAACAAGTAACTTTATCCATTATAAAATTTAAATAGCAATCTGAGTGTGCCCATATACATGAACCACCCTAGTCTATACGTATACCCGATGCCATGCTCGGAGGATGCAGGGGAGACCATCTATGACTCTGTTGGTGATATAAATTATGTAATAAATTGCACTGACTGATACACTTGCTTCCCTTACGATAAATTAGTCTCACAGGGAGTAGATTATGGCAAAGGCGAAAAATGGAATCCGTTTGTCGCGCGGTAAGTTCTCGTGCTTTACATGCTTCACAGTTTGTCATTTGCTTTAGAATATGGAACGTAGATCGACAGCTTGCCGTGAGACTATGTGCTTTATAAGGTTCAATCATGTTCATATAACTGACTATGTATAGTTATCTACGATGGTGATTGTTACACATTTCCCCTTTGAAATTTGAAGCGAACTCACATATACTTTATGTCGTCTCAACTTGATAAGGAAGGGGCCACTCATTATTTATAAAGCAAAATTTGACAATAACAAATAAAACCCCACGCTGAACTTGCACAATTTTATCAGTTGCCTATAGCTTTCTATATATCTGAGGACGCAAATTTGTCGAGAAGAGTAACAGAGCTAACCGTTTTTTGAATTAACACCAAGGTGGCAATAAGTCAAACAGAATACGTTTATGTATGATCTCATATCTGAATGTGATGACGCTCATATTGACAGTGTACTAAGTGCTAAAACATTCAAGTTCACATCACGTACCCGTCGTAAAGCAGCTTTTTGCTACTAGTTTGAAATTGGGAACCGGTCACCGGTGTGTGTTGCATTAATTTTTCTAAAAAATATGTACTCTCATGTCGCAGTTCATCGGTTGGTGATCATAATCATAGGAACCATAAATGTACTTTCATTATTTATATTAATTATCATATGTTTTAGGTCGATCATTATGGCCGACGACAAGCAGAATGGTACCGATGTGGTCGACAAAGCTGCGGTGGAAGTAGCTCAAATGGCTTTGGAAACGAAAGACGAAGACGACACCAAACCGGCTCCGATGGCTGACCCCAAGGATACTCAAACTTCAACGGCAGCAACAGAAGAAGCTACTGGCAGCAAAGGGGCTACTAAAAAAGAAGAGAATGGTACTCCAAAGACAGCACCTGCTTCGAATGCTGCCTTCAAAGAGCAATTCAAAGCATTTTCAAAATTTGGTGACACCAAATCTGATGGCAAACACTTAACCCTTTCGCAGAGTGATAAGTGGATGAAACAAGCCAAGGTGAGTATAGCGAGGGTTGTCACTATTCAGCAAAGCCTAGCAAATGTGAGTTATGAAAAATTGTTTGAATATGTTATGAAATGGCATTGAATCACTTGTACTTTCATAAGAAATCTGTGAGATTTTGAGCAAGTAGGTACATATGTGTGCGACATGACACTGGAAGATTGTAAGAAAAGGCAGATCGAGTTTATATGGTACAACAATTCAAGTTAAATAGTTGTGCTATCTACCCACGAGAATTTTGCTGAGATCTCAGTAAAAATTAATGCCGAGCTGCTCGACGGTGACAATCTTGGCAAAAAAAGACTAAGTGTGTATGTGCTCACATCTCATTCATGGTACATGTTCTATTAAAACCAAAAATTCTACAAGAGGCTGTAAAAGTATGTGTTTGACAAATAAAATCTGTCAATTTCACTTTAAGAGAGTCATAACCAGCGATTTAATGATTCGTCAGCTTTCACTCAAAGTGAGCGCTCTTGAAACATAAAATTGCAGATTGTGACCCTTCTTCTGCTTTGGCTTTGTTGCATCTCTACTATTACCATTTTTACATTATTATAATTGTGTGGAGAGAGTATATATAGAGATTTCTGAATGCCCAAGTGTTAGTGCAAGAAATGCAACTCTCCAAAGTATAAGTGCGTATATGTACACGGTTTCTTGCACTTATAATTTAGAGTCGCATTTCAAATTGCAAGGATTTTATTTTAATAAAATATAAATTTTTTTGCAATTGCGGATCTGACAACTAAGTATGTGTCGCATGACCAGTTTTAGCTTTGCTTGGATTCGCCAATTGTCCTGCCGTTGTCTCTTCTGCATAGCATTAGGGGCTATTGCACCGATTATGCAAATCTCATCTCTGGGTTAAATGATGATTTGAATCCTATAGACTTCTCAGACGATTGTTGAATGCCCGGTTGAATGCTTAAGTGTGACGCAGGCATGGAAAACCATGTACATTCATTTCATGCATTAATTTACCTTTAATTTGCCTCTAACTTTTTTCATCAACAGAATTCCGTGGAATGATGTATGAAGTCTTTGTAGGTTTTAATATTAGCTACAACTTTTATCAATATCTCAAACCTGTATATCTTATCCATGCTGAACCAGAGCGAACAGAACCCAATATTGTTTTCAGTGAATGTAAATTACATTCACTGAAAAATAATAACAAGCTCTGCCCACTCTAGTTCGTAACGCATAAGAGGTACAGCTGGTAACAAAAGTTGTACTTAATATTAAAACCTACAAAAGTAATTTTACGGTATTCTGTTGATGGAAAAAGTTAGAGGCAAATGAATGTAAGGGAGAACAGCCCATAATGCACCCCTGGGGTAAAATGCCCACTTATTGAAAAACATCGATAACTTTTCCTCAGATGCGTTTTCCGGGTAACGGTTTGTGATTGTTTTCAACTGGAGGTTTCACAAATAATTCTTGATCATAAAATCATATATTGACCTATTGATTCCTTTAAAAAAATAGCATTTTGTGCAAAACAGGACACAGTTGTTAAAATCATCGACTGAAAATTAAGCTTTTAACATCATATATCACAAAAAAATTTGACGAATTTACTTTTCGTATATTTTTTAGATATTTTACTTGATGAATCACAGTTTAACATTCTATTGAGATTTTGAGACCTTATTTCTGATGTAACATAAAGAAATAATCATTTGAAATACCGCATCCCTTTGCATTATCTACTTGCAGGGGTTATGGTTTGTTTACCATGGGGTGCATTTTACCCCAATGTTGTGGTGCGTTTTGGCCATTGTTGTCGTGCGTCTTGCCCCAATGTTGTGGTGCATATTGCATCATGAATCAGGCGTTTTGCCCCGCTATCATTTTGGAAACAATTTATAAAATACCTTGAAAGTCATGGATAATCATCCTTTTGTAGTTCTAAATAACTCGATCTTCGTAGAAAACATGGTAATAAACCAAACGCCATTACTTTTTTCTTGATTTTAGCTTCCATTCGCCAGCAATTGACGATTTTGCTTAAACGGTGCGTTTTGCACCATCCTACTCTAAATGAATGCACGAAATGAATATAAATGATTTGTGATGCATGATAGTGAGTGCTAGGGGTCAGCTCTCGGTTTTATTGTACTTATAGTTTGGACAAACCACAACTTCTACACTAAGATCTGGGCATTCAGAAAAGTTGATTGATGGAATAATGTTAATTACATTAACTAATATTTACCTTGAATACTTTAATCATATTTGGGGTAAATGATTTACCCTATTGCTAATGTTATTTTTCAAAGCAATTGCTAGTTAAAAGTATTAGTGAATATTCAAAATGTTTGTTCATAACACACTACTTATCCTTTTCAATACAATTTAATTTAGTTAGGGGCAATCCACAAATTATGTAAGGGAAGATGGGTAAGGGGGCTTTCAACATTTCATATATATTTTCTTACATATGATTTAATAGCTAGATTAGTTATGTATGTTATGTAAAAATGTCCCAAATTCAATTAGTTTCTGAATTTTTTAAAATCATGGGACAGGGTCGGTATTAAAAGTTAATCCGCGTTGAAGCTTACCACGATAAGAATAGTTATAAAAAATGTCCTTTACAATAAAGCACATTCTCTTAACTCGTCACAGGTCATCGACAAGAAAATCACAACCACAGACACTGGTATTCATTTCAAGAAACTTAAATCAATGAAACTGTCATTCCTAGACTACAGTAAATTTTTGGAAGATCTTGCCAAAACCAAAAAAGTGGAGCTGGATGAAATTAAGAGTAAAATGGCTAATTGTGGAGCTCCAGGAATTCACAACGCAACGGTAGGTAGCATTGTAACTTTTGACAGGAAATTTTTCGTATTACATTCAATTGATTGCAGCCCGGGAAAGCAGGCGAGACGGTAGCGCGGTTGACGGATACATCGAAATACACGGGCTCACATAAGCAACGCTTTGACGAGACCGGAAAGGGAAAAGGGATTGCCGGGCGAAAGGATCAGCCAGAAGGTTCGGGATACGTGACCGGTTACTCTCATAAAAATACCTATGACAAAACGCATTAGAACATGTACCTTGTGAACCGTACCTTCCAACATTTCTTTATATTTAATCATTAACTATTCACGGTGTCTATGAACGAAAACCTTATTAGAGAATAATGAGTATCGTAAACACCCACCAAACGGTAGCTTAGGCTTGCCCTTTCATATGAGGCTAATTAGTATCGAAATGCTATTTTTTCGTATTTTTTATATGTAAATCACATTTTAAAACTAGCCTCAAATGAAAGAGGAGCTCCTAAGATTTCGTTTGATAGGTGTTTTAGCGATACTGATTTTTTTATATTAATTTTGATCTGCCAGAGACACCGTGCTATTAATGATGGTGGTGCAGTTTGATAAATCAAAATAATATAAAACATTGAAGTGATCGTTCGTCTTCGGAAAGTTTGTGGATAGATTTAAATTAAATTATCAATCCGTTATGTTTTCTGTGTTCTCCATTATAGTAAACAATTTATTTCAGTTTTAATTTGATGTTATTTTTTATTTTTATTTTTGAGAGGTTACTCTAGTCTTAATAGTTTCGTCGCAGAGTTCGGTTAAGTGATGGATGCCCAAATTATAAATATATATTGAAAATAATACATTAGAACTACATGCTTGTTCATTAACTGGGCTAAAAATACTGAGGGAACTTGTTCGATCTTAAACAAATTTCACGTGCATTGATTTGAAACAGTGTAAATTTGTTATTATTATTTTCACCCGCGAGTTTAGAAATGTTTAACGCGCTTTTTTTTTAAACGTTTTCAAGTTTTGATTTCAGTGCGAAATAATAATAATTTCAATTTTATTTCTATTAACACCTAATATTCCATTCGAATGTCCCTCACCAATTATGAAAACGAAATGTTAAACTAAATACGGCGTCCATTTTTGACGTATAATGAACGCCCAGTTAGCGAACATGTACTGTACAGTAAATATTACTCATCAAGACATGTTTTTTTTGTACCTAGTGCAGATCATTGAGAGTGAATACAATCTAAAAGATATTTAAGGAACCCAGATAAAATAAAACATATTTATATTTTCCCGCTGAAGATATTCACAAATAAAAATATAAGCTTTCAATCATATTTGATGACATCCTTGATCACGATGTGTTTTTTAGAATAACACTTAAACAAAAAAAAATCCTTCAGTGTGGTAATTAAAAATACTTTTTAGGAAACACATGATGATATTAAAAAATTGAGACATTGTATTGAGAAAAACAATTGATTGTATTTGTTTTTATGGTTTTCATGGTTTTAAGACAAAAGGCACAATAGAGATGAACTAGCCTAAGGCTAAAAATCTCTTAAATAAAGAATTAAAAAAAAAAAAAAAACAAAGGGCACAATATGTTTTTTATATTTATCCTTGAAAATTAGGGCTTTTTTACACATGATGTTTTTCTTTTCGTTGTTGAGTTATATTTTTTAAAGTTATAATATTTTGGATTTTCGCTCAATGCGTCGTGACAAAAAAAAAAGAAAAAAATGAACAGCAATAACAAATTGAAAACTAAATTCAGTCACATGTACCAATTACCGATCACGTTTTGATTATAGATACCAGTGGCGTCTCGTCCATATGTGCACCTCGTGCACTGCACAGTCTCGAATTTTCAAAAAGTAAAATTTATATTTCATAATATTTAAAAGGCAAAAATTTAATACTCAATCAAAACCATTTTTGTCCTCCCTATTTATTGGTTTCATATGGATAGTAACTGAATTGTCCACCACATCACTGGATAGTAGCTGAATTGCTTACCAGTAGCTTTTGCTGCTCAACCTCCGTTTTACCCGCCACTGAAAGAAAAGTAATAGCGAATTCGTTTATTATTCAGTTCCAACCTGGATCGGGTATCAAGATTGGGTCTGCTTGTTTTCTGACAAACGTCAGTTTGATCGTTTGTTTTTAAAACCCAGCTCAGGTTGAGGTTCGCACTGACAAAAAGTTCGGTTTCGCACTGGGTTGGAACTGGTTCCAACCCCGATAATAAACGAATTCGCTATAAGTAAAAACAGAAGCGAGGCATAGCGAGCTTGTTTTCACGTACGGGTACGCTGGGATTTTACCACGTGCAGACAACTCATTTTGGACTTCTATGGCGTGGAGAATGAGCGACACAAAACAAGCAAGGAAAATAAATAAATATATATGCCTTCGTTCTACCAAAGCCACCGCATGCTTAGTTCTCCCAGTCTGAGCACTTTTGCTTGTGCACCAGAAACGCTCGTATTTACAACCAGATCAGTTGTATATGTATTGAAGTCCCGTAAGCATAATTGCCGATGTGTTAGTGTTTATTTTGTGCACTTCTATCTTTGCACAGTTTAAAGAGAAGAGAATAAATTGGCACGTATAGGCTACGTCGCATTTGAGTTTCTCTCTGAATTGATTGAATCTTGGAGAGCCGTCATTCGTTGTATACCTACCTACACGCACACATAGAATTTTTAAATTTTTAAATTTTCTCACTGCCTGACTGCATTTTATTCAGTAGCCTCAGCGCATTGATGGAATATTGTTCATAACATAGTGCAAAATTAAATAGGAATCATGGAACAGGATATTGTTGATGACCTCCTGAAGAGACCGTTTTCCAGAAGATCAAAAATGCTTATTGCGAGAATGGACGTCCCACGGCCAAAGTTGGACAACTTGAAAACGACATGTAAAAGAAATGGTAAAATCATAACGCAGAACTTTGCCGAAAATGGACAAGTGGAAATTGTTGGTTGTGTCATGCTCGAGGAAATTGCGTGGGAAGTGGAGCATTTCGAGGAAATCGCAATTGGCGTCAACTCTACGCTACTGCTTAGGAAACGGTGAGTAACGATGACAAATATCATAAACATGAGACTTAAAAAGAAAATCAATGTTTCTATGCAAGAGTAAGCGAAACTGGTAGCAGAACTGTTTCCCATCATCATTTCGTTTATTTTTTATACAGGTACCCCCGTCGAAAGATTTGTATCCCATTTTTTTTATTCTGCATCAAAATTGGCTTCTACTGTTACAGACAAAATATAAATAAAATAGGTGCACAACTAGTGAATTTTCTCACGAGACGCCACTGATAGATACTATAGATTCCATAGATAAGCGGAGACACAAAAAGTTGTTTTGGCAGCAATGAAAAATAAATGATCTTACTGGCATCCGTGAAAAAAGTTCATGCCATCATAGAGCTCTTCGTTGTGCAGTTTTTTTTTATTCGTGCGTAAAAGTTCAAAATTAAGTGCAAAGCAAATCTTTGCAACAATGTATCGAGGAATGGTTTGCTTTATCTTTTCTTCTTCCGTTGTCCACGAAATAAATCGGAATGTGGAGTGTGGAAAGCGTTTTGTACTCATATATTAAAGGGTGATACGGTCAAAATTTGGTCAAGGGAAAACGCGTGTAAATCGGTGAAATCGTTTATTTAAAAAATCAAATTAAATTTCTTTTTCAAGTTCAATTAGTATAAAATTCAGGAAAAATATTCAGTTAGGCTTCCGCTTTTCCAAATCCGAATTGCCGGGCCTTACGCTTGACCCCTGCCATCAGATTTTGTACAGCCACCTTGTCCACCTTCTTCGCCGCAGAAAGCCAGTTTGCCTTGAACTGCTGCTCGCCCTTAGCAGTTTTTTTGGTCTTCTTTAGGTTCCGCTTGACAATAGCCCAGTATTTCTCAATTGGGCGGAGCTCTGGCGTGTTGGGAGGGTTCTTGTCCTTGGGAACCACCTGCACGTTGTTGGCGGCGTACCACTCCATGGCCTTTTTACCGTAATGGCAAGATGCCAAATCCGGCCAAAACAGTACGGAACAACCGTGTTTCTTCAGGAAAGGCAGCAGACGTTTATTCAAACACTCTTTCACGTAAATTTCTTGGTTGACAGTCCCGGAAGCTATGAAAATGCTGCTTTTCAAGCCACAGGTACAGATGGCTTGCCAAACCAGATATTTCTTTGCGAACTTTGACAGTTTCATGTGCTTGAAAACATCTGCTACCTTTCCCCTTCCTTTTGCCCTATAAAACTCCTGTCCCGGAAGCTGCTTGTAGTCGGCTTTGACGTAGGTTTCGTCGTCCATTACCACGCAGTCAAACTTCGTCAGCATCGTCGTGTACAGCCTCCGGGATCGTGCTTTGGCCGTCGTATTTTGTTTATCATCGCGATTTGGAGTCACTACCTTCTTGTAAGTCGATAGTCCGGCTCGTTTTTTGGCTCGATGCACGGTTGTAGACGATACACCCAGCTTATTTGCGGCATCTCGGAGAGAGAGGTTAGGGTTTCGCTTGAAACTACCGGCAACTCTCTTTGTCGTCTCAGCGGCTTCCGGTTTTCGATTTCCCCCCGATCCAGACTTCCTGGCTGTCGACAAACGTTCCCCAAACTCTTTAATTACATTTGTAACGGTTGATTTGGCAACTTTTAGCGATTTTGCCAACTTTGCGTGCGAGTAGCTCGGATTTTCGCGATGCGCGAGCAAAATTTTGATACGCTGCTCTTCTTGCTTGGACGGCATTTTGACAACTGAAGAGTGAATTCCAAAATCAAAATAGGAGCAACATTCTACACACACACACCTTCAAAATGAGGGGTGTTCAGGTTTTTTAAATGCAAAATTGAAAGAAATACGTCAAGTTGATATTGACCAAATTTTGACCGTATAACCACAAACGAAGTGACAGACGACTAACTGGCGAAGAAATCCATTAAAATAATGTGGTTCACTGTAATAGAATTATATTGGAAGCTTGTGCCATCATCCACCAGATGGATTAGTTTTTTTGTTTTGATTTGAACAAAGTTGATTTTGTGTACAATGATTCTTTGACAGTGTGCAAAGAGTGCGTATCATTTTGTCATTTTTTTATGCATTTCAGTTTTGAGTAGAGTGAAAGAGATAGAACCAAAACATTCCAGTACATTTGGTGAAAATGCTAGTTCAATCTAGTAGTAGTGTTGCCATGTGGTACAATCCAGTAGTAGTGGTGTTGCCATGTGATACACTGAAAAATTGAAATAGCAGGTTAGTCACCAAAGTTTTCGAGCCGCTCCGTCTGTCACTTCGTTTGTGGTATAACCCTTTACAATACTTCTCCGTCAAACAACACCATGTTGACGTCATGCTTGTTTGGCTACATTAACCTTATCCACCGCTTATCTATGGAATCTATAGTATCTATAGTTTTGATGATGTGTTCTAATTAGCGCTCATTATTTATCAAATTTTCCTCTCATATTTATTTGATTCTAATTGTATTTCTTGATATTGTTTTGAACGGAAAAATATTTAGCGTGTTTTGTAACACTTAATTTTATTATATTAATGTTACATTATCGACACAATTGTCCTTTTAATAGTTATTTTTTCAACTTATGTTCGAGGACTGTTGTTTTTTCTCAACTTTTTTATTTATTTTTCGAACAATGTCGAGAACAATGTTCAGTTTAAGATGCTTAACTGTGTGGGTGGCATAATTCATCAAATCCAAACTTCTTCATCTGGAGTTAAAACAGTCAACGGTCCAGGGTTTTCATTTCAATATTTACTCCGCAATTTATCTCTCAATGTTCCGGCCAGATCACAGCAGTGGGTAGCAGCATGTAGCACTGACAATCCACGTTTTGCTGCGTGCATTACAATATAGATTGCCTTCGCAGAATATACACACTAAGATTTTGGTTCCGTGTTCGGTAAATTTTACCAAAATCAGAACAGCTAAATGTTCGGTAAAACTGTGACCTTTAAAAGCTATTGAATTTAAAAATAACTTTAAAGCATGTTCAACCTTGTTTAAATGATCAAATCTTGTCATTTTAGTGGAGATTTAGTTTCAAAGTAGCTGAAAAGCAATTTAATTGAATTGCATAAATTTTAAGATCTTTTTTTTTCGGTAAAAATTACCGAAGTCGGCGATAATTTCTAAGTGTGTACATTCTTCTTTTAAGCTGTTCATATTCCACGAGGCCACTCTAGGGGGAGGGGCAAATTCATGGTCCATACATTTTCCTCCAAATTCAAAATAAATTACATTTCATTTTAACCTAGGTGCTCCAGC